CACACCCCAAGCAGTGCTGCTTCTAGGCATGTTTTGTCATAATCGTCCATGTTGCTTAAGGCTTCCTGCAAAGACAAGTGAACATCAGCACCTCTGGGTGGAGTATCATCATCACAAACCATATACAGTTTATTTAGAGACCAGAAATAACTCATACTTATTTTCTGTGCCCACTGCATTACTATCAAAGGTTGAAACAATTATTAAAAATCACCTGCAAAATTTAAAAATTAGGCTTTTGCCCTTTTATGATGTAGAAGGAAAGAACTAAGGTTTGATTGGTTTTATTCAGTATTTTCTGCTCTCTCCTATTAGAGATTCAGGTCTGGCAGACCGCATATTAACTGGGGAACAACTGAAACTGTGAGCAAAGAACAAAAGCTGACAGGAAAGGAATCTAAGTACATGTAAGGCACAACCCATTTTTTAAAGATCCTTTACAGGTCTCTGAAAATAATAAAGGTAAATGCTGAAAGCTGTGCTGTTACTCCATGTAAAGCACAGTATTTGCTCCCATTGTCCTGATGTTTCAAACACCCACATACACACAAAATAACAATCTTCTGCTGTCTAACAGCACTGCCCATTCAAGGATCTCAGAATGCTTTCTGAGGGTCCATTTATTCACCCAGTGAAGTGACTGGAAAACCATGCTCAGCTTTAAAAGGCTCTATTTATCCATATCATAAATATGGCCCTGAGGAATGCAGCCTCACAATACCACTATGAGGCAAGGCAGGTATTATAGCTCCAGTTTACAGAGGTGGTGGAAACTGTGCCATAGGGTGCTTGCCCCACAGCCTGAAATCTTGCCACACGTGAAATCTAGCAGAGGGAGATTTGTGTCCATGTTTAGCTTCAACTATACAACTTTCCCTCCTATTTAAGATGGAAATATATATTAGATCAGCAAAGCATCACAACCCACTGCAAAATACATACAGCGGTACAACCTACAAGGATTTGGTTGAACGCTTTGGGCCTGACAGATTTCCCAAGGCCAACTGTACAGAAATACTCTAGGGAAATGAGAACGTGGCAGAATTCAGATGATAAAGGGCAAGCAGTACGGGGCACTGGTTTTAAGCAACAAGTCTGTCCAAGGACTTACACATTTATAAACCAGTGTGTATGACATGGTGCCTGCAGTAGCTGAGGACTGGACTTGGAGACCCAGGTCTCTTCTATTACTATGTTTCATAATCAGGCAACTTGAATCTCACAGTGCTGTGTCCTAACATTTCTCGAGCACATCTACAACCTTCCTGTGTTCTCCGCATCTCCCTTTCTTTAGCCAGTTGTGCCGGCTTACTGAAAACCTCTTACTCACTTTTTCCCATTCTCCTCCTACTTCTGTATTGTCCCCTGCAAAAAAACACCTCTTTACATCTATCCTAAACCTTCCAAAAGCTTCCTTCTGCTGCATCACCTATGGAACAAGCCAATGCTCACATCCAAAAATATGACTGTCACAGAACCATCAGTATGCAGACATGGCTCACCAAGTAACCACCTCATTTTGTTATTCAGCCCCCTTTTCTCACATTTTCTTCCTCCCCGAATTAACCCACTTCAGCTGCTACCTGATAATTTAGGTGAGTTCTGGAGGGAGGAATGGTCTCTTCGCTAGTCTGGGTAAACTGGCCATGAGATCCTTAGGTGAAAGGGCTAGTTTCACTGTAATTCTGAAACGTGGTGAATGTTACAAACACCAGCAACTCGTTGATTCTCAAGTACGTTTTTTAAATGCTGTACCTGAAGTGTGTTGTAATCTCTGGTAAAGGGAACCATCAGCTCCCAAAGCGATGAAAAAACCACCAAGGCTGTAAATTCAAGTTTGTAGTTGGTGGCCATGTGTTCAAACAACATGGTCAGTCCATGGATAGCCAGGTGTTTCCGCTGATACTCTTCAGAGCCCTCGACCGAGACAGGCCGGGTCATGGAGAGCGACACGTCCATCACCACCACCGTCGGCATGATGATCTGTCCTTTCTGTTACCGAGCAAAACAGCGCTTCACTGCAAACGGGAAAAGCTCTGTGGAGCGATTATCAAAGCAGCAAAGTTAGGGCTCTGCTACACATTCATATGAAAGCTAGATACGAACCAGCTATAGAGCTGTTACACATTTTCAGGCACTAACTTTATAGCTGGTTGGCTCTTTTTACAGAAGGACAGTCATTTTTATTGTGCGAGAATAACTTTGCACGTGTAGTGGGTCTGCCTTTATGGCGTGATTCACCAATGAACTGTGTAATAAGTCCTCAGGTGAATTTGATATCTTTTATTAGACCAACCCAAATGGTTGGAGAATAGTTATTAAGCAAGCTTTCAGGTTCAAAAACCCTTCGTCAGGCTCAGGAAGCTGCAGCAGTTGGTGCGCGCTCTTCCTGGATGGGATGACAAGTAAGGAAGCCAGGGGCTGGGCTGGGCCGGGCCGGGCTGGGCGGGGGAGTCAGTTGCCAGGCAGATTGTAATGTATCAAAAATCCAGTGTCTATGTTTAGTCCCTGATCTCTAGTATCCAGCAGGTTGATGAAATGGAGCTCATAGGCTCGTCTCTGGGATGTGTTGTGTAACTTCCCAGAGCCACCCATCCTAGCCTTCAGACAAGCACCGAACCTCGCTAACCTCATCACCAGAAGCAAACTTCCTCAACCCCAGAACACACCAAACACATCCCAGAACACATTTCTTGTCTGACCATGCCAGACAAGAAATGCAAAACCTGCCCCACATCTCCACCACCCCCACTATTACTACACCCCACAACAGAGCCATCAGCATCCCAGGATCTTACAGCTGCACCTCCAGGAATGTAGTATACCTCATCCAATGCACCAAATGCCCTGATGGAAGATATGTAGGAGAGACCAGACAACAACTGCGCACCAGAACGAACGCACACCGGAAATCCACCAAAAGACAGAAGCACCCAATTACCGGTGGGGGCACATTTCTCACAGGAGGGCCACTCTCTCTCCAATCTCTCAGTCCTGATCCTCAAGGGAAATTTACACAACACATCCCAGAGACGAGCCTATGAGCTCCATTTCATCAACCTGCTGGATACTAGAGATCAGGGACTAAACATAGACATTGGATTTTTGATCCATTACAATCTGCCTGGCAACTGACTCCCCCGCCCGCCCCAGCCCCTGGCTTCCTTCCTTGTCATCCCCTCCAGGAAGAGCACACACCGACTGCTGCAGCTTCCTGAGCCTGACGAAGGGTTTTTGAACCTGAAAGCTTGCTTAATAACTATTCTCCAGCCATTTGGGTTGGTCTAATAAAAGATATCAAATTCACCCAAGGAACCTTGTCTGCCTGTGTCCTTAGACCAACATGGCTACAACCTACATCCCTGTAATAAGTCCTCTGCATTTGTGCCCAGCCTTACTTTGCACGTGTAGCCAGGCCACCTTCATTGCACAATTCACCAGTGAACTGCGTGATAAGTACTTTGCACTTGCAGCCAGCCTTACTTTGCATGTGTGGCGGGTCTACCTTTATTGCGTGATTCACAGAATCATAAAAAATGAGGGCTGTAAGAGACCCCAGGAGGTCACAAATAGTCCAACCCCTGCTCCGAGAGTCCTTTACGCTCGTGGCCAGCCTTACTTTGCATGTGTAGCCGGGCTGCATTTATTGTGCGATCCACCAATGAACTGTGCAATAAGTCCTTTGCACTTGCAGCCGGCCTTACCTTGCACATGTGGCCGCGCTGCATTTATTGCACGATCCACCAGCGAACCGTGCAATAAATCCTTTGCACTAGTGGCACATTTATTGCACAATCCACCAGTGAACCGTGCAATAAGTCCTTTGCACTTGTGGCACACTTATTGCGCGACACACCAGTGATCTGTGCAATAAGCCCTTTGCACTTGTGGCGCTTGTTGTGCGATCCACCAGTGAACCGTGCAAGAAACCCTTTGCACTCGTGGCGCATTTATTGCGCGATCCACCAGCGAACCGTGCAATAAGTCCTTTGCACTCGTGCCACACTTATTGTGCAACCCACCAGTGCACTGTGCAATAAGTCCTTTGCACTTGTGGCACACTTATTGCGCGACACACCAGTGATCTGTGCAATAAGCCCTTTGCACTTGTGGCGCTTGTTGTGCGATCCACCAGTGAACCGTGCAAGAAACCCTTTGCACTCGTGGCGCATTTATTGCGCGATCCACCAGCGAACCGTGCAATAAGTCCTTTGCACTCGTGCCACACTTATTGTGCGACCCACCAGTGCACCGTGCAATAAGTCCTTTGCACTTGTGGCACATTTATTGCGCGATCCACCAGCGAACCGTGCACTAAATCCGTAGCACTGGCGGCGGCGGCCTTCCTTCGCACGCGTGCCCTGGCCGCATTTATTGCGCGACCCAGCAGCGAACAGTGCCATAAGTCCTTCGCGCTTGCGGCGCATTTATTGCGCGACCCACCGGCCCGGCCCGGCCGCTCTCGCCCCGGCCACCGCGGAGTCGCGCCGCGCAGCCCCGGCCTCACCTCACAGGCC